TCTGTTTAGTATGATTTATCCTGTACCTGTTTTAACCTCAGACTGGCTTCATTTAAATGGCTTTGCCATTTCTAGTACCACGGTCTACTGAAAACTTTGCCCACAAAATTTACAAATTTAGACTTTAGTGGTAGAAATATATTTCTCGCATTCGAGATAAAGATTTCTCGGTAATCTGGGGTATAAACATTGAAATATTTATTTCGTACACAAAACACAGTTCAGAACGAGTTCAGAGTTTAGAGTTGTTGCTAACTGAGTTAAGTCCTTTGAAAAAAGGAGAAATTTCTCCATTTCCGATGACTTTGACACTGTTCCAAAGAAAAAATCCCTTTCTGGTCTTTTCTTCCCTTTCAATATTGCTTATTTTATCAACCGTTAGCTAACTTTAAGCTTCTGATCCGTTGGCTAATCTTAACTTTCTGACCCGTCACTGAACAGGTTTTCTTTCCCAAAGATTATCTTCTCCAATCAATCCATTTAACGTAGAACAGTCGATATTTTTATCTTCTCAGCACGTTTACAATACCCATAAATGATAACAATTGGCATCACGTTGGCTTTACATGGTCTGGTGTAACCGGAAGTATACTGCTGCTCATCGATGGTGTGTTGTGGGCAACTCGAAATGTGTCTATGAGCACCGAGATACCATCCGGAGGGAAGTTAACAATTGGAAAAAGAAACGATGACGATGGAAACCAATATCTGGTCGGTAAGATCAGTCGTATGAACATGTGGAGTAAAGCATTAGATGGAAAGGCGATTGAAATGATGGCAAAAAGTCCTGGGATGAATGACGGTGATTTGATCACGTGGTATAAACTAAAGTATATTGTGTCGAACGAAAGAATCCTTCGTCCTTCAAAAGCATCATTCTCAGGTTGAATATTTTCTACTGCATACCCAACGTTAAATTAACCACGATGTACCTGTTAGTTCGTCTTGTATTTTTTTCCCATTTTGACAATTATCTAAAATGTTAAGTAGTCCTCTTTGATAGATAGAAACTCAAGTAAATATAGGCAGACATCAGACACGATCTCTTCTGTGATCGCTTTCTATCAGTTTCAGTCACATAAGTTTCCGTCCACTTGAAGCGACGATTTCCTGTTGGAACGCGTGTTACTGATCTGAACTTGCAATGGTTTCTTTCAATGAGGGAAATACGATTCAATCAAAATTCGAAATCACATTAAACTAAAGCAAACCTGTATTTTCTCTTATGTTTTAGGTAACAAGACAAAGTATTTGATAAGTCTTCCATCTACATTGATCCGCTATCCTGGACCACCACAGCCCATGAATTTTTTATCTGCCTGTGTTTGGTATTACGGAAGTGGAAAGAAAAGCACTGAAATCTTTTCATACAGCTCATCAAAGGAATTTAGGTTTCTCTTCAAGAAAGGAGCACAATTGTCCACCAAAATCAATGGTCTTTCCAGTCAGAAGTAAGCATCATTAAACTAAAATAAATGGAACGCTACCTGAAGCAAATAATTGAAGGCAAATCTTATATCAGACACGCAAGATTTTACCCCAGACACGCGTGTGTAGTGTTTCGGGATTCTCTCACGGAGTAATAATTGATTGACTACACACCACTACACAAGCGTGTGCACTGTTTCGAGATTCTGAAAATTGATTGACTACACACGCGTGTCTGGGTGTGATCTCGCGTGTCTGGGTGTAAACTTTGACTTCAAGAATTTATTATACAATCTATTACAGGTAGCGTTTCATGTATTTTAGTTCAATGGTAAGCATTGACAACAACACCTGTAAACATATTGTAGTATGTAGGAACTCCAGTATCAACATGAGATCACTCCTAATGAAGACAATAGATTTTTGTTAGCAAGTACTCCAATTTCAACGTTAGATTAGTCCTCATAAAAACAACAGACTGGAGAGCATAATTGATGACTTGATCTTAATTATTAAATCATAATCCTGAAAAAGTCACCAGACTCAAGTATAAAAAAAGTCTATCTTCAGCATTAGATCATTTCATATAAAGACAATGGCGGATCCAGCGATAGGTACAATAAAAATTAGAACAGTCTATTGATTGGTAGGATTTTTGTTTATTGCAAACTCATAACCAATGCATGGCATTGTTGTGTAGGTATTTTGAATTTAAAAGTGTTGGCTGTAATATATTTTGCCTAAGCGTGGATCTGCTACTGGATAAAGGCACCAGGCATTCAAGTTAAGGGCTCAAGTTTCAACAACTGAGCATGCCTGATTAAATACGCAAGTTTCAACATCAATTTATTTCCTTAATTAGGCCGGTTGGAACTTCCATCAAATTTTGGCATTTTCTCTGCTTAAAATGGAATGGCAAAAAAGCTTGGGTAAAGTATTTCTTCGACGGCTTTCAAGTTAACACATCTGTCAATGATACCGCATTGCAAATAACCTTACCGGAACGAAAAATTTCTTGATTCCTCTTTCAATTAACGGTCAAAAGTTATCACAACTGAATATCTGGAGTCACGAGATTTCGAGCAACAATATTCAAGTCATGGTATCAGGAGGGTTTAATATTCACGGCAACGTGTTATCTTGGGGCAAAGTTTTACAATACGTCTCCCCTGGCGATGTAGTATGGAGAGTTGGTATTTACCTACCAGGTAATAGATAATAAAAACAATAAAGAATTGTTATAAAGTGGATCAGTATAAATATATATGGGGGATATTTGACCTTAAAGTAAAGAAGCAAATGCAACAAGAGAGAGGGTAGAGACAAAGTAGGAGAGGGAGGGGGTTGTTGATAGACAAAATAGTATTCAGGTTCTAAAGAGAGCTGAAAAGAGAGGATTTTGGAGGGTAAATGAAACTGCTGATGTTGGGAAAAATGAGGAATATTCAAATTAAACAAAAAGAAATGGCTAAATTGTTGGGAGAAAGAAGGAAAGTCGGAGGTAGTGAGAAAGTGAGTTGAGCTTTCATGGATGATGAGAAAAAATCCCAAATTCTGCTGAAAGTAAAATCAGCAACATGGAATTTTGAGGATAAAAAGAGCAAGAAAGGAAAAAAGATGAGGAGAAAAAGCGAAAAATGTTGAGGATAAAGAAAATGGTCAAAAATGTCGGAAGGGGGAGGGGAAGCTAAACAAATGATAAATTTCGATTAATTGGAAGATCGGAGTAATTAACTAGTTTCAAATTAACTAAAAATATGATGGAAACTGTTGTTATTTTTAAGACCAAGTAACAAGGAAGCAATATCAGTTTAATTTCTTTCCTATTTTTCGTTCACAGGTTACACAGTTTTAATGCAGCGGACAAAATGGTGCAGAGATAATCACTCTGGGAGATTATCCTGTCCTGGTGAAGAGGTTGCTAGACTGGGTGGCAAAATCTCAAGGGAATCGATATTTTGGCGATGTTATTGCCCAAAATGTTTGACTGCTTCAAAAAACACGTTCGATTTTGACACAAATCACACAAGCAAAACTTGTTATGTTTCTAAACATTATCAGCTCATTCACATCAACTAACATTCACTTTGGCACAAGACACTGAAGCAGTAACTTAATATACAGGCTCTCTTCTTTATCACTTTATTTTAAGTAGAAATGAATACCTGATTTTGGTCACTACATTGTTAAATGTTGTTGATCGGTCTTAAACCAATAATCAGGGTAATTTGTAGGTCTGCACTCCACCACTTACGTTCCAATGATGTTTTGATATTTAGGTAAAAGCTCGAATTCTGTGTTGTTCTGGAAACTGTAGTGTAGCAGGAATGGGAAAGCGATCAAAAGTCAACAGACGGTTTCTCATTTATTATCAATACATGAAGTATAATCATAATACCTATAATATATATCATACATATATCAAATAAAAATTGCATATTTCACTTGTCATTTCAAACAAAAGAAACTCGAGCAGCTTATTTTTCTCGGTGTTGTACCCATAATTGTACCATACTCAAGTACTTTCTGATTGTAATGAAATAGAAAGCTAAAGAGCTCCTCATTTTTTCTATGTAAAAATAAAACGAACCTCACTAAATTGATTACGGTCTTTACTAAATATGAAAACATCGACAGTTATCCTTCTAGGCAATTCAAGTTTAAGACAATTTCTACTATTTTTGCAAAATTAACCTATGTTTTTATGGGAACTAAGCCCAGCCCCAATTAGAAAATTTATTGGGGCTAAAACCCCTTTCCCGCCGCTTCCTACGCCTATGTCATATATTATTCAGACTTCGGTTAATGTTATCGCATCCGCTTCGCTTTGGCAGATAACATTGAAGTCATTCTCAATAATTCTTAATATTATGCTTAACCTCATCGATTTAATTATTTATTGTATAAAAATTTAATGCATTGAAATTAATGTAAGACCAAATGGTCTAACTCAAAACTGGCCTTTTACTGAAAAAGCAATATACAATAATGTTTGGTATTATTAAGTCAGCTGGGAGTTGTCCTGGTTTAGTCGGACATTACGATACTAGAAATAGTTAAAAACTTTCACACAGCTGAATGACTTTCACCTGCCTTAAATTAGCTTTTCTGTTTTCGACATAATTACAAACGTTTTCCTTTTTCTTAATTTTTTTATTACGTAAAGTGAGAGCTTTTTGGACGCACTTAAGTATATTTATACATATAAATTTATAAAATAATGACAATAAAACGTGCGCGCTGATTGGTCTACAGCCTTGTTTGCATTAGCCTGCGCAAAACAGGTCTGAGCTGAACAAATTAATCAATCAATCGATCAAAGAGAATTTGCAAATCAATCATGAATACATTCTTGATGAAAACTCAAACCGTTGTTTTTAAATTTGTCGTTTTTTCTTATTGTTACTTTGAAAAAGAAATAAAAGACAATTTGAGTTTTCGCTGATCAGCTCACGAGTTCTCCTAAAGCTCTCCTTGATTTACATAAGCAAGTGCAAACACAACAAACTCTTTTTTTCTTAAATACGTTTGAAAGAAACTGTCGACATTATCAGTTTGCCTTTGTTTCAATAATGACACAAAAGCGAAAAAATGCTCTCTTTTTCTGCAAAGTCATTCGGTTCTCGCGTTTGGAAATTCTTCTTCACATGATCTTTGTGATGGAATCAAACGGATGGCAGGTCAAAACAAAATGTTGTGACCTGGTTTACTATACAGAATGCTTAGGTAGGAAATAAGTTTCTGATGTTTCAAGTCAAACTTTAGGTAAAAAGCTAGTTGAATAAAGTTCAACTTCAAGAATTAGATGCCAATTTGTGCACGAGTTAGTAATGATGTTATTACAGCTATTTGTTGAATAAATCCGTCGGGAAACTGTTTTATTCATGCATTTTTAGATATTCATCTTAATTTTCCTTGTTAAAGATATAGCAATATGTTCTCAGTAGTCAATTTGTCTCACAACGTAATTATTTTGACTGTTGCCAATGACACTTTTCCTATATAGAACCGCTGGCATCGTTGAATATAAACATAACGAAGCAAGTTCGGGTCCGTTCAATCATCGAGTGCGGACAACTTTGTGCATCCCATGACTTTTGCGAGGCTTTCCTACATAGCATTAACAAAGAAGACGGAAACTGTCGACTGCTGAATGGAATACCCGAGAGAGAAATAGGATTGATTGAAAATGTGGTCGAAGGGAAGTGGAGACTGTTTATTTCCATGAAGGTAAAAATTTTGAAAATTTAGTTTACAGTCAGGGAATGTATGCAGCGTTTTTTTACAAGAACATTGGATTCACTGTTAAATGAAAAGTGGTGGAGAAGTAAGAACAGTCAAGTTGCGCAAACTGGCTTTAAAGCAAAAACTGCGCTTCTTCCAATAAATGGCAAACTCATTTTCTCATCGATGGCAAAATTTTTTCTAATATTTTTCAAATCAAGTAAACAAGACAGTGAAAATACCGTTCTCAAATATTTACGAAGTGAATTTGAAGCCCAACTTATTGTAAATGAGCTTTTAGACTACAGGCGTAAATTTTCATATCTGCTATAAAGTGCAGATGCTCAACTTGTATAATTCTGCTGAAATCTGTCAACAAAGTGAACTCAGATTTAATGAATCTTCATCATGTTAGTCGTTTCTTTAAAATATATTCTGTGGTCCTCTCGCGCGAAGTAATATAATTAGCTAGGCTGCTAACTTTAATTTAATTGAAAGGTTGTTTGGAGGGGAGCAGGTAAAAAAGGACTTGGGGTTAAAAATACACAAATTTATCAGCGCATGCATATACTGATTTACGGAACACATCAATAAATATTATTAGAATTTAAAAGAAATTCCATTAGAAATTAAAAAGATAAAACAATTTATATTCTAAGTTTTGTGCTTAAGAATGGCATACCTCTTTCTCACTCTAGGCAAAATGTGAAATGGATAAAACGTGTCAAGGTCAAGGTCAATGCATGACGGATTGCAATCAGCCAGATGTTGTCAAATGTGATTGCTATGAAAACTATTACGGCAAAAATTGTGAGAAATTTTGTAAGAATTTCAAACATTTCTTTAAGACATTTAAGAACAGAAAAGTGATTCTTGCGACACTAATTCGGGTTATCAAAAAAAATTGGTAACTGAGCATTCTCGTACGATGGCGTGATTTAGGAATATTGTCATAGCTACATTGTTTTTTCCATGATCTTCTATCGGAGCCCATCATGTTTGTTGATTTCATATCTTGAAATACACTACTAAGTTTATTAATAATAAAAAATAGTTACATCGATTTTTTATGTACCATCCTCACGAGTCTACTCATTTACATGCATTGTATGCCAGAAATTTTCGTCATGAAAACTGATAAATGTAAGTTACAAATCATCTTCTGCTGTTACCGAAACACAAAAACACATGTTATTACAGACGACTACGATCTGAACTTTCCCAACACCTCTGCATACACACCGATCGATGTGGGACACATAGACAAAAGCCTAAATGAGTTTACCATAACAGTCTGGGTGCAATTTATCGTTGGCTATGAAAGTTATCCACTGATCTCGTACAAGACAAAAAATTCGTCACAAAACATCGCGATGCATTTCGACCTAGATGGAAATGGCGCATCAACAATAGCAAGCTTAACTGCTAAGGCATTTAACAAATCTGTGAGGTAAATTTTATACACGTTTTGTATGATTTATCTTGTACATGTTTTAACCTCAGACTGGCACCAGTTTAGACGTTTTTGAATTTATGTTGTCCTGGGCAGACTGGAAACTTTCCCAACAAACGAATCTAGAAGTTTAGACTTCAGTCATAAAAGTATGTTTCTCACATTTAAGAAAAAGATTTCATGGTAATCCGTAGTATTAAACTTTGAAAGACTTATTTTGTGATTTGCCATAATACAAACAAAATTCAATTCAGAACGAATTCAGATATTGGAGTTGCTGCTAATTGAGTTAAGTGCAGAAAGGAAATGCTGCTACATTTGTGATAACTTTGACGCTAATCCAAAGTTCTAACACCTTTCTGTTATCTTTGTCGCTTTTATGCATGGCCTTTTTATTGCTTGTTTGCCGACTTTAAGATTCTTTTACAGGTTTTTTCAATTGTCACTCGATTCGTATGTACGGGAAGAAAAATTTCTTTTAATTTTGGTCATTTTTCATATTCTATAGATGTGTGTAATAAGGGCCCGATTTTATTAGCCGCGCGGAACGTTGATAATTGGGGAACATGGGAGCGATATATTCATATATTCATATGTTATAATCCGTAAACACAATTTATTTCAATAGGAATAAATAAAGTAAAACATGTATATATGAATAGAAGACCCCCCCAATTATCAATGTTCGGCCTCCTTGCCATTTTTCGTTTACCAAAGGGGCTCATGGTCCATGGCACATAGGTGACTACGAGCCCGATCTTTTTCTTTGCAGGTATTCTTTCTCAATGATTTTCCGATTCAATCAATTTACTCAACAAAAAGCAAACGATACTTTTATCTTCACAGCATGGTGACCATACCCATAAATGACGACCATTGGCATTACGTTGGCTTTACATGGTCAGGTGTATCCGGAAGTATAATGCTGCTTATCGATGGTGTGTTGTGGGCAAATCGAAATGTCTCTATGAGCAATGAGATACCATCCGGGGGGAAGTTAACAATAGGAGAAAGAAAAGATGAAGGTGGAATACAATATCTTGTCGGTAAGATCAGTCGTATGAACATGTGGAGTAGAGCATTAGATGGAAAGGAGATTGAAATGATGGCAAAAAGTCCTGGGATGAATGACGGTGATTTGATCACGTGGTATAAACTAAAGTACATTGTGTCGACTGAAAGGATCATTCGTCCTTCAAAAGCATCATTCTCAGGTTGAATATTTTCTTTTTAATACAGAATGTTTATAAAACCACGATGTATATATGGAACAATCAGTCGGTTGGTCTTGTATTTGATGTTTCCAATTCGACAATTAACTAAAATCTTTAAGAAGTCTTCCTCCAAAGATAAAAGGATATGATCTCTTACGCAATCGCTTCCTGTCAATCTTATATAAGAGTATTCTGACTACACGAGCTGGGATGTGGCATCCGACGTCACTATGATCTCCCTCACAGAGAGAAATATAATTGGATTGAAATGCGAAATCACATTGAAACTAAGGCAAAAATGCATTCTCTCTTATGTTCTAGGTAATGAGATAAAGTATTATATAAGTGTGCCATCTACATTGGTTAGCTATCCTGGACCACCACAGCCCATAAATTATATATCTGCCTGTGTTTGGTATTACGGAAGTGGGAGCGAGAACCACGAAATCTTTTCATACAACTCATCAAAGGAATTTAGGTTTCAGTTAAAGTCAGGAACACAACTGTTCACGAAAATCAATGGTGTTTCGAGTCAGAAGTAAGCACTTGCAACACTAATTGTCAAAGACTACAGTATGTATGTGCTCCGGTTTCAAGTTTAGATCACAATCCTGATAAAGACATTAGACTATAGTATAAAAGAACTCTATATTCAGCATAAGATCACTTTGAATAAAGACAATGGCGAAGATAACGTTAGGCAAAATATATTAGAAAAGCCAATTGGTTTGTACGATTTTGATCTTTCGAAATTCATAACGATTGGTATTGTTGTATATATGTTAAAATTAGAATTAATAACTATAATATGTTTTGCTTGATTGTGGATTTGCCACAGGATGAAGACGCCAGGCATTCAAGTTAAGGACTCAAGTTTCAACATCTGAGCACGCCTGATAATCTGCACAAACCTATACATACACCTATTCTTACATAAATCTATTTCTTTCTTAGGCAGGTTCCAAGTTCCTTCAGATATTGGCATTTTCTCTGCTTAAAATGGAATGGCAAAAAAGCTTGGGTAAAGTATTTCTTTGATGGCTTTCAAGTCGATACATCTGTCAATGATTCCGCATTGCAAATAACCTTACCGGAAAAGAAAAATTTCCTTGTTCCTCTTTCAAGTAACGGTAAAAGGTTTTCACAACTGAATATCTGGGATCACGAGATTTCGAGCAGCAACATTCAAGTCATGGTATCAGGGGGGTTCAATATTCATGGCAACGTGTTGGCTTGGAGCAAGCTTTTACCATACGTCTCCCCTGGAGATATAAAATTGCCTGTTACTATTTATCTACCAGGTAATAGATAAAAAAGAAAGGAAAGAGTGGTTGAGAAGTGGGTCGGTATAAATCAATATGGTTAAGACTTGACAGTTAAAGCAAAGGAGCACATTCAAGGAGAGAGAGATTAGAGACAAAGTAAAGGGGGTTGTTGTTCAGTGATAATGAAAGGTAAACTATATTCAGGTTCTTATGCAAGCTGAACTGAGGGAGGGATTCTCTAGGATTAAGAAAACTGCTGATGTTGAGACAAATACGAGATTGTTCAAAATAAACAAAAAGAAATGGCCGAATTGATAGGAGAAAGAAGGAATATCGAAGGATTATGAGGGTAAAAATAGTAAGTAAAGTGATGTAAAAAATTCAGTGAGAAAGATTTGAGCTAAAAGGTAAAAAGATCAAGATGGAACTTTGAGGATAAAAGATTACGGAAGGAAGTTTAGGATGACAAATGTTTTTGGTAAAACGAGAGCCTGTGAAGTTAAAGAGAATGGTCAAAAATGTTGAGGGGAGAGGAATACAAGTTAAAAATGTCGAACAATTGGAAGCTTGGAGTGACGAGTTTCAAATTAATTTAAAATTTTTAAGACCTTCAAGTAACAAGGAAGCAATATCAGTTTAATTTCTTTCCTATTTTTTCGTTCACAGGTTACACAGTTTTAATGAAGCGGACAAATTGGTGCAGAGATAATCTCTCTGGGACATCCTGTCCTGGTGAAGAGGTTGCTAGAGTGGGTGGCAGGATCTCAAGGGAATCGATATTTTGGCGATGTTATTGCCCAAAATGTTTGACCGCTTCAAAAAACACGTTCGATTTTGACACAACTCACACAAGCAAAACTTGTTATGTTTCTAACGTACATAATCAGCTCATCCACATCGACTGACATTCACTTTGGCACAAGACACTGAGGCAGTAACTTATGATACAGGCTCTCTTCTTTATCACCTTATTTTGAGTAGAAATGAATGACTGATTTTGGTCACTACATTGTTAAATGTTGTTGATCGGTCTTAAACAAATAATCAGGGGAATTTGTAGTTCTACACATCAGTACTTACGTTCCAATCATGTTTTGATACTTAATAAAAAGCTTGAGTTCTTTTTTTTTCTGGAAACTGTAGTGTAGCAGGAATGGGAAAGCGATCAAAAGTCAACAGACGGTTTCTCATTTCATTTTTAATACATGAAGTATAATCATAATACCTAGAATATATATCCAACATATATCGAATAAAAATTGCATATTTCACATTTCAAACAAAAGCAACTCAAGCAGCTTGTTTTTCTCTGTGTTTTTACCCATGGTTGTAACATACTCAAGTACTTTATGATTGTTATGAAATAGAAAGTTAAAGAGCTCCTCATTTTTTCTATGTAAAAATAAAACGGACCTCACTAAATTGATTACGGTCTTCACTAAATCTGAAAGCATTGACAGTTATCCTTCTAGGCAATTCAAGTTTAAGACCATTTCTACTATTTTGGCAATGTTAACCTATGTTTTTAGGAGAACTAAGCCCAGCCCCAATTAGAAAATTTATTGGGGCTAGAGCCCTTTTCCCGCCACTTCCTACGCCTATGTCAAACATTATTCAGACTTCAGTTAATGTTATCGCATCGCATTCACTTCACTTTGGCAGATAACATTGACGTCATTCTCAATAATTTTTAATATTATGCTTAACCTCATCGATTTAATTATTTATTGTATAAAAATTTAATGCATTGGAATTAATGTAAGGCCAAATGGTCTAACTTAAAACTTGCCTTTTACTGAAAAAGCAATATACAATAATGTTTGGTATTATTAAGTCAGCTGGGAGTTGTCCTGGTTTAGTCGGACATTACAGTACTATAGAAATGGTTAAACACTTTCACATAGCTGAATGACTTTCACCTGCCTTAAATTAGCTTTTCTGTCTTCGATATAATTACAACCGTTTTCCTCTTCTTTAATTTCTTTGTTACGTAAAGTAAGAGCTTTTTGGACGCACTTAAGTATATTTATACATATATATTTATAAAATAATGACAATAAAACGTGCACGCTAATTGCTCAACAGCTTTGTTTGCATTAGACTGCGCAAAACAGATCTGAGCTCAACCAATTAATCGATCAATCAATCAAAGAGAATTTACAAATCAATCATGAATACATTCTTGAGGAAAACTCAAACGTTGTTTGCGTTATTGTTAATTTAAAAAAGAAATAAAAGATGTTTTGAGTTTTCGCTGATCAGCTTACGAGTTCTCCCAAATGTCTTCTTGTTTTGCATAAGCATGTGCAAACACAACAGACATCTTTTATTTCTTAATTATGTTTAAAACAAACTTTGGACATTGTATTTAGTCAGTGCATCAGTTTTCAACGGTTTCAAAAATGACAGAACAGGGAAAAAATGCTCCTTTTTTCTGCAAAGTCATTTGGTTCTCTTGTTTGGCAATTCTTCTTCACATGATCTTTGTGATGGAATCAAGGAAATGGCAGGTCAAAACAAAAAGTTGTGACCAGGTTTACTATACAGAATGCTTAGGTAAGAAATAATTTTCTCGTATTCCAAGTCAAAATTTGGGTAAAAAGTTAGTCGAATAAAGTTCAACTTCAAGATTGAAATGCCAATTTTTGCACGAGTTAGTAATGATGTTATTACAGCTATTTTTAGAATAAATCCGCCGGGAAACTGTTTTATTTATGCATTTTTAGATTTGATCTTAATTGTCTTGTTAAAGAAATAAAAATATGTTCTCAGTTGTAAACTTGTCTCACAAAGTAAATATTTTGACTGTTAACAGTGACACTTTTCCTATATAGAACCATTGGCATCGTTGAATATTAAAATAACGAAGCAAGTTCGGGTCCGTTCAATCATCGAGTGCGGACAACTTTGTGGAACCCATAACTTTTGCGAGGCTTTCCTACACAGCATTAACAAAGAAGACGGAAACTGTCGACTGCTGAATGGAATACCCGAGAGAGAAATAGGATTGATTGAAAATGTGGTCGAAGAGAAGTGGAGACTCTACATTTCAATGAAGGTAAAGTTTTTGAAAATTTAGTTACAGTCAGCGAATGTATGCAGCGTTTTTTTACAAGAACATTGGATTCACTGTTTAATGAAAAGTTGGGGAGAAGTAAGAACAGTCAAATTGCGCAAATTGGCTTTGGAGCAAAAATTGCGCTTCTTCCAATAAATGGCAAACTCATTTTCTCATCGATGGCAAACTTTTTTGCTAAAATTTTTCGAATGAAGTAAACAAGACAGTGAAAATACTGTCTTCAAATATTTACGAAGTGAATTTGAAGCGCAACTAGTGTGAATGAGCTTTTAGACTACAGGCGTAAGTTTTTCATATCTGCTATAAAATGCAGATGCTCAACTTGTATGATTCTGCTGAAATCTGTCCACAAAGTTGAACTCAGGCTTAATGAATCTTCATCATGTTCATCGTTTTTAAATATATTCTGTGGTCCTCTCGCGCGAAGTAATACATTTAGCTTGGCTGCTAACTTTAATTTAATTTAAAAGTTATTGGGAGGGGGGCAAGTAAAAAGCGACTCGGCGTTAAAAATATTTACACAAATTTTCCAGCGCATGCATATAGTGATTCACGGAACATATCAATAAATATTATTAGAATTTAAAAGAAATTCCATTAGAAATTAAAAAGATAAAACAATTTATTTCGCTAAGTTTTGTGCTTAAGAATGGCATACCTCTTTCCCACTCTAGGCAAAATGTGAAATGGATAAAACGTGTCAAGGTCAAGGTCAATGCATGACGGATTGCAACCACAGATCTAATAATACACTAGATAGTGCAACTGACATAAAAGTTGAAGCCGGGCAAATTTACTTCCGGAGCCCCAAAGTAGTGAGAATCAATATGGCGTTGTATTAGAAAATATGTGGTCCAAGTTAATATCTCGCAATTATTAGCAAATCGCGGAGGTTGCATCAACTTTTTTGCACTATTTATGAAATAAATCATTGTGACTATAGTTTGTAAGAAAAAAATTGAAGAATACGCCAATACATCGCCGTAAAATTGATATCAAGTGTAGCTCGATTTGAAAGCATAAGCAGCGACTAAGGCTTAAGGTGTATTATTAGATGTGTGATTGCAACGAGCCAGATGTTGTCAAATGTGGTTGTTATGAAAACTATAACGGCGAATATTGTGAGAAATATTGTAAGAATATCAAACACTTCTTTAAGACATTTTAAGACAGAAAAGTGATTCTTGTGAAACTAATTCATAAAAGGATATGATATCTTATGCAATAGCTTCCTGTCAATCTCATTCTCATATGTTTACGTCCACTTGAGGCAACGATCTCTTGTTTGAACGTGTGTTAGTGTTATTATATAAGGGAATCCAGACTTCACGAGCTGGGATGTGGCATCCTACGTCACAATGACCGCCTTCACAGATAGAAACATGATTGAATTGAAATTCGAAATCACATTAAAACTAAGGCAAATATGCATTCTCTCTTATGTTTTAGGTAATGAGACAAACTATTATATAAGTGTGCCATCTACATTGGTTAGCTATCCTGGACCACCACAGCCCATAAATTTTATATCTGCCTGTGTTTGGTATTACGGAAGTGGGAGAGAGAACCATGAAATCTTTTCATACAACTCATCAAAGGAATTTAGGTTTCAGTTTAAGTCAGGAACACAACTGTTCACGAAAATTAATGGTGTTTCGAGTCAGAAGTAAGCACTTGCAACACTTGTCAGAGACTGTAGTATGTATGTGCTCCGGTTTCAAGATTAGATTACAATCCTGATAAAGACATTAGAATCTGGTATAAAAGAACTCTATATTCAGCATTAGATCACTTTGGATAAAGACAATGGCTGAGTCAACGTTAGGCAAAATAAATTAGAAAAGCCAATTGGTTTGTACGATTTTGATCTTTCGAAATTCATAACCAATGGTATTGTTGTATGTATGTTACGATTAGAATTAAAGACTGTAATAATTTTTGCTGGATTGTGGATTTGCTACTGGATAAAGACACTAGGCATTCAAGTTAAAGACTCAAGTTTCAACATCTGAGCACGCCTGATAAAGTGCACAAGTTTGTACATAAACCTATTTCTTTCTTAGGCAGGTTCCAAGTTCCTTAAAAAAATGGCATTTTCTTTGCTTAAAATGGAATGGAAAAGAAGCTTGGGTAAAGTATTTCTTCGACGGCTTTCAAGTCGATACATCTGTCAGTGATTCTGCATTACAAACAACCTTACCGGAACGGAAAAATTTCGTTGTTCCTCTTTCAAGTAACGGTAAAATTTTTTCACAACTAAATATCTGGGATCACGAAATTTCGAGCAGCAATATTCAAGTCATGGTATCAGGGGGGGTCAATATTCATGGCAACGTGTTGGCTTGGAGCAAGCTTTTACCATACGTCTCCCCTGGAGATATGAAATTGCCTGTTACTATTTATCTACCAGGTAATAGATAAAAAAGAAAGGAAAGAGTGGTTGAGAAGTGGGTCGGTATAAATCAATATGGTTAAGACTTGATAGTTAAAGCAAAAGAGCACACGCAAGGAGAGAGAGATTAGAGACAAAGTAAGGGGGGGGGGATTGTTGTTCAGTGATAATGAAAGGTCAAGTAGATTCAGGTTCTTATGCGAGCTGAACGGAGGGAGGATTAACAGGAGGAAGAAGGAATATCGAAGGATTATGAGGGTAAGAATAGCAAGTGAAGTGATGTAAAAAATTTAGAGAGAAAGATTTGAGCTTTCATGCTTGAAGATAAAAATATCAAGATGGAACTTTGAGGATAAAAAAAGCACGGAAGGAAGTTTAGGATGACAAATGTTTTGGTAAAAACGAGAGCCGGTGAGGTTAAAGAGAATGGTCAAAAATGTCGAGGGGAGGGAAATACAAGTGACAATGTAAAACAGCTGGAAGCTTGGAGTGACGAGTTCCAAACTAATTTAAAATTTGATGGATAATATTGTTATGTTTAGGACCTTCAAGTAACAAGGAAGCAATATCAGTTTAATTTCTTTCCAATTTTTCGTTCACAGGTTACACAGTTTTATCGAAGCGGACAAAATGGTGCAGAGATAATCTCTGTAGGTCATCCTGTCCTGGTGAAGAGGTTGCTAGACTGGGTGGCATGATCTCAAAGGAATCGTTATTTTTGCGATGTTATTGCCCAAAATGTTTGACTGCTTCAAAATACACGCTCGATTTTTACACAACTCACAGAGGCATGACTTGTTTTTTTAATAAACATGATGAGGTCCTCCGCATTAACTAACATTCACTTTTGCACAAAACACTGAGGCAGTAAGTTATGATACAGGCTCTCTTCTTTATCACGCTATTTTAATTAGAAATGAATTGCGCTTTTTACTAAATTTGTATTCAAGCCGTTGTAACTTTGGAAATATAAATTTTAACACAATTAACTAATTTAGAAGTTGTTAAGTAACATTTTAAGAAATATCAGAATCAACAAAAACCCAAAATGACATCATACTCACTTTAACCTCGTCTAGTTAATTAATTATTGAGTAAATATTTATGTATTGATGTAAGTTAGCTTAAAACTAGCGTTTTACTGAAAAGCAATGAACAATGTTTGGTATTATTACGCCGATTGGAAGTTGTCAGAGTCTTGTCGGGCGTTACATTACTATACATATTTAACTTCAACAGCTAATGGTTTCACAACAATATCCATATCTGACAAACTTTCACCTGCCTTAAATTAGCTTTTCAATCAAACAACGAAAGAGAATTTGCAAGTCAATCGCAAATACATTTTGGAAAAAAATTAAAATGTTTTTTTCTAATTTTCGTCTTTTTCGCATAACTGTTTTTTTTTAAAAGAAATAAAAGATGCTCCTCGTCTTTTCATTGGCTTATGCAAACCTTGGAGACCCTTGTGAGAACTCTCAAGCAGGCTCAACCCACGACCTTCGGTCATGGGCTTTTACTGATCTGCTCTCGAGTTCTCCCAAAGGTCTCCTTGGTTTGCATAAGCTTGTGCATGCAAACCCAGTAAACATATGTTATTTCTTAAATACAATTAAAAGAAACAGTCAACATTGTACTTAGTAAAGCATCAGCGTGCCACGGTTTCAAAAATGACACAACAGGGAAAAAGTGCTCCATTTTTCGGCAAAGCCATTTGGTTCTCTTGTTTCGTAATTCTTCTTCACGTGATCTTTGCAATGCAATCAAACGGATGGCAGGTCAAAAAAAAGACTTGTGATCAGGTTTACTATACAGAAAGCTTAGGTAGGAAATAATTTTCTCATAATGTAAGTCAAACTATGGGTAAAAATTCAATTGAATAAGGTTCAACGTTAAGACTGAAATATCACTTTGGGCCGAAGTTTGTTTCGAATAGATGTTATGACAGTTATTTATTCAATAAAACAATTGGCCAACTGTTTCATCCATATATTCCATGATAATGATCTTATTTTTTTTTGCCAAAAAGATAACAATGTGTTCTCAGTTCGTCCCAAAACGTAATTTTTTTAACTGTTGACATTAACACTTTTCCTATATAGAACCGCTGGAATCGTTGACTATAAACATAGCGAAGCAAGTTCGGGTCCGTTCACTTAGCGAGTGTGCGCAACTTTGCCGAATCGATGACTTTTGCGAGGCTTTCCTACACAGCATTAACAAAAAAGACGGAAACTGTCAACCGCTGAATGGAATACCCGAGAGAGAAATGGGATTGATTGAAAATGGGGCTGGAGAGAAGTGGAGACTATACATTTCGCTGAAGGTAAGTTTTCGAGAATTAAGTTTGGGTCTGTGAAAGTACAGTAGAGCGTCGTTACAGGAACATTGGACTGACTGTTTAATGACACAAGGAGGTATCGGTCACATCAGTAAAATGCTTGTTTTTATACAGGTTTGTATATTGAACAAAGCTTGACAACAATTTTGCAAAAAAGAAAGAGAAGAAAGCCATAACCAAAATTTCCGTTGAATTAACTACTTTTAGTGCAAAAATCTAGCTTTCTGTAATCAATGGCAAACTCATATCTTTATCGATGGCAAGATTTTTGCTTAATCATTTCAAATCAAGTAAACTGGTCGGTGAAAATAACATCTTCGAATAGTTATGATGTGAATTTAAAGCCCAAATCATTGTAAACGAGCATATAGTATACGGACGTAAGTTTTTCACTTCTGCAGATGCTAAACTTGCATGATTCTTGAGGGATTTTTCGACAAATTTTTTTGAAATTATTTTATGAATCTTCATCATGTTCGTCGTTTCTTTTAAATATATTTTGTGGTCCTCTCACGCGAAGTAATACATTTAGCTTGGCTGCTAACTTTAAATTAAGTGAGCGGTTATTAGGGGGAGGGATAAAATATTTACAAATTATAATTACAAATACACATATTTGCTGGCCCATTTACTGATTAACGGAACATGTGCTGCAACATCAATTTGCTCTTTTTGAAATACCCATAACAAATGTATTGTTAAAAGAAATTCAATTTTAGTTAAAGAAGTTAAAAAAATTTATGTCAATATGGTTCGTGCTTAACAATGACAAACTTCTTTCTCGCTCAAGGCAAAATGTGAAATGGATAAAACGTGTGATGGTCAAGGTCAATGCATGACGGATTGCAACGAGCCAGATGTTGTCAAATGTGGTTGTTATGAAAACTATTACGGCAAAAATTGTGAGAAATATTGTAAGAATTTCAAACATTTCTTTAATACATTTTAAAACAGAAAAGTGATTCTTGCAACACTAATTCAGGTTATCAAAAAAGTTGGTAAATGAGCATTCTCAAATGATAGCGTAATTTAGGAATATTGTCTCATCTACATTGTTTTTTTCCATGATCTTCTATCGGAGCCCATCATGTTTGTTGATTTCATATCTTAAATACACTACTAAGTTTATTAATAATAAAAAATAAATACATCGATTTTTTATGTGCCATCCTCACAAGTTTACTCATTTACATGCATTGTATATCAGCAATTTCGTCATGAAAACTGATAAATGTAAGTTACAAATCATCTTCTGCTGTTACCGAAACACAAAAACACATTTTATTACAGACGACTACGATCTGAACTTTCCCAACACCTCTGCATACACACCAATCGATGTGGGACACATAAACAAAAGCCTAAATGAGTTTACCATAACAGTCTGGGTGCTATTTAACGTTGGCTATGAAAGTTATCCCCTGATCTCGTACAAGACAAGAAATTCATCACAAAACATCGCGATGCATTTCAACCTGGATGGAAATGGTGCATCAACAATAGCAAACTTAACTGCTAAGGCATTTAACAAATCTGTAAGGTAAATTTTATACATGTTTTGTATGATTTATCCCGTACCTGTTTTAACCTCAGACTGGCTCCAGTTTAGGAGCCTTTCGATATATGGTGTCCAGGGCAGACTGAAATCTTTCCCAACAAACGAATCGAGAAGTTTAGACTTTAGTCATAAAAGAATGTTCTTCACATTTAACGGCGCGCAGAATGGAAATGCTGCTACATTTGTGATAACTTTGACGATGGTCCAAATTATTAACACTTTTCTGCAACCTTTGTCGCTTTTAAGCTTGGACGTTTTATTATTTTTTTCCTACTTTAAGCTTCTTTTACAGGTTTTTTCAATTGTCACTCGATTCATATGTACGAGAAGAAAAAATTCCTTCGATTTGGTCATTTTTTATATTCTATAGATGTGTGTAATAAGGGCCCGCTTTCAGTGCGGCCGAACGTTAATAATTGGAGGGCATGGGAGCGATATATTCATATATTCATATGTTATAATCTGTTAACACAATTGACTTCAATAGGAATAATTAAAGTAAAACATGCATATATGAATAGAAGACCCCCAATTATTAATGTTCGGCTGCCTTAGCCAACTCTCATTTACCAAAGGGACTCATGTGCAATGGCACATAGGTGACTACGAGCCTGATCT